GCTTTTTAAAAATTATATGTGTAAAAAAAATCCACTCCATTGTTTATTAAATAAAGATTTTTTTCAAAATCCACGTTTGTAATGTTTCATAGAAATAGTTGTTTTAATGAAGTCACGTCTTTAAAAAAAAATGTCCCTGAAAAGTAAAAAATTGAAACTCTACTCGGCATATTCTTACGTATAAGTACTGTATTCGAAATACTATCTATACGACACCAACTAAAATTAATTAAAAACAATCATACAACCAGTGGACCGAAAAAGAAGATTTTTTTTTAACTATTTCCAAAGTGCTGATTTATACTTGAAATATTTTTTTTCTTATAGCCACATTTAATCTTAGATAAGCCGTGCAAAATTTAAATTTTGTTCTGTGTTGTCTTACGAATAAGTGCTATATTAAAAATATAACTTATACGCCACCTGGATAAGTTAATTAATACCAATCATACGACCAGCGTAAAAATGATATTTTTTCAAAAAATCCACGTTTGTATTTCTTCTTAAAAAATGTTTACTTTAAAAATCATTCCTGCATACGTTCTTAAAAAGAAAACTACTAGGGAATAGCTACACCTAATCTCGGATAGAAATTATAAAGTGCTATATTACAATTATTACTTATACGTCACCAGGTAAAATTAATTAAAATCAATCATACGACAGATTGGACGAAATAGAATTTTTGAATTATTTGCTCTTCTCAAAGCATCAACTTCAGCCTGTAAATAAAATCTCATTGTTTTTATTTATTTTTTCTTTGTTAATTTTTATTTTCCCACCTAAATCAAGTCATATCCTCTGGCGGCGTTCTCTAACCCCCTCAATTGATAGAATTTTATTTATTATATTACTTGTGATTTTTCAGTGTTGATAAGATCTCCACCGACGTCGACAAAAAAAATCGTCGTTTGTTAATTGAAAAATAATTGTCATCATTAAAGTATTAAGGAATTTATTATGGCCAATAAACATAGAATAATACACTAAAATATAAGAGGTGTGAACTTGTTATAAGCAATTAAATTCAGACGTTTGTTTTTCTTAGATTTTTTTTTTGTTTTTTGTATTTGAGATAAGAAAGTAATTTTTTTTCGAACAAAGATCAGTGATTTGCGAAGTTAGGGAAAGGGAGTGTTAGGGAAAATGGTAAGAGAAAACTAATTCATTCTACAAGGGACAAGGAAACAGGCGTTTGTTTAAGGATATTTTTTTAAGGGCCCTCACAAGTCGTGGAATGTAAAAAAAAACTTTTTCAAGGTTTCACGCAAGGCGAGGACTTTAAAAAATATTTTTTCAAGAAGTCACACAAGGCTGGATTTTTTAAAGAATATTTAAAGAATGGTAAGAGAAAACTGATTCATTCTTCAAAGAACAAAAAGGCGTGGATTTTCTAAAGAATATATTTTCTAGGACCAGCACAAGGGGTGAAATGTTATTTTTTTTTAATTTCAGACAAGAGGAGGACTTTTAATTTTTTTTTCAAAGAATCACACTAGGCGTCGAATTTTAGAGACTTAATTTTTTCAAGAAGTCACACATGTCGAGGATTTATTCTTCAAATTTTTCATAATATAGAAACCATTTTTTTTTAATTTTTCGTAATTATTTATTCTTGGAATAGAAATAATACCTCCTTACAAATCGTTTATTTATAATCTTTTTTGTTGTTCTACTTGATGACATAAATTTGTACTCGATTTCCTTGTGACAAACCGCACGAGTTATGGATGACTTTCAATAGATAAAAATACCCCATTCCCCCACAAACAACAACAATGCAAATCGATCAGACGTCAATTATCAAATTAGACATAATCGTGGATAAGTAATCAAACATGGAGTCGAAAAAAATAGAAAAAGGCAAAGAAAAATCAACAACAACAACAACAAAAGAAAAATATGTCAATGAAACGGAACCTTATCAAAGGGAATGTGTGAGGAGTAGTAAAATGTAGTCCAACTGTGGGGGTGGGGGTTATAAATTGTGTGTGTGTGTACAAGAATTTGTGTAAGAAATATTCAACTAATTTATCTATCTCGCCGACAGTCAGTCCATTTTTTTCTTTTGATTCGCTGATATTATGATAATAATTTGCCAAGCAAATTGATGTTAGCTAGTAGTAGCAAAAACATTTTTATGTATTCGTGTGTATGATAGGTAATCATGGGCTTTGTTTGTATTCGAAACCAAATTAAATATTATCGAATCGAAGGTAGGTAAAATAAATAAACATCGACAAGTGTTTTATTTGTTTATCAAATATTGATATATTTTCTGAACGAACAAATAGATATGGCTGCATATATATATATATATATATATATGAAGTAAAACTCTTATAGATAAATACGGGGTGATTTTGATTTGTGCTGTCCCCAATGTGTGTGTGCATTTTTTTCATATTTATGTTTATTGTACTGAAACCAACAGAAATATTTCTGTAGATTCCACTCTTGTGTCATTAATAAAAAAATATGTTTTATAAAAAACTATGTTTTGCGAACTTAAAAAAAATATTTTTTTGATGAGATTATTTACGTGTGTGAGATTATTTACAAACCCCATTCTTTGCTGGTTCTATATTCTATACTAGAGGTCAACAAATATTACTAATATTCTGTACAGCCCTTCTAATTACTTGTCCAGATTCCCTTCACTGTGGGTTGGTTGTGATAGACCCGAAAAAAAAAAACACAAAAATAAATTTTAGGTCCACTTCTTCCCAATATTATTATCTGATCTTCACCGAAAATTATAGACGTTCTCCTTGACCATACCTGGATCCTCGTGAAAGATTTCAAAACGATCAGCGCTATATTTTCGCCCCCTGGTGTGGTAATGGTTCACAAATATACTATCAACATATGAGGTATATGTCCTTCAGGAGTAAATATATATAATATATAAATATATAAGCAGAGGGAGGACCGAAAAAAAAATGAATTTTTTTCACAGTAAATTTATGTTTGAAAGAGCGATTTTTTTCATTTTGTACTATCGGGCCCCCCGAAATGAAATCCTGTATACGTTGCTGGCCATAGAATATAATTTTTGTAATTTTTCACACATTTGAAACGCCAAATATTGATTGATATTTATAAAACAGGTATGCTTATTCTTTGGCCCGACCCCCTTATCCATGTAAAAATTTGCGATGATTCGGTCATAATTGCGTTTTATGGTGCGACCAGAAAAGCCGACAAAAATTAAGTATTTGGTTCATTCATCCCCTAAATATTAACCGATCTTTACCAAAAACAATAGGAGACTTCATTGGCCAGAATCCATCATAAATCCAAAATTGGTCCATAACTATGGCCTGTATCGTGTTTACAAATTATAATGGACAGACGGGCGGACACGGACATGTCTAGATCGACTCAGCTAATCAACATATGACGACCGGTACACTTAAAGGTGGGACTTCGACCAATATTTCGCGGTATTACAAACTCTTGGGACTGCACAAAGCTATAATACCCTCATAGTTGTGTAGGGTATAAAAATCTTGGCGTGTATTGGTTTTTGATAAAACATTTTTTAAAAAATCCACGCCTGTCTTTGTATTTGGGTCATTTTTTCGGAGACCCAGACTCATTAAGTGGGTCATTTTTTTCTATAGAAAAAAATCGGTGACCCATAAGTGGGTCATTTTTTTCTATAGAAAAAAATTCGATGACCCTTTGGTGGGTCATTTTTTTCTATAGAAAAAAAATCGGTGACCCATAAGTGGGTCATTTTTTTCTATAGAAAAAAATTCGATGACCCATAGGTGGGTCATTTTTTTCTATAGAAAAAAATTCGATGACCCATAGTTGGGTCATTTTTTTCTATAGAAAAAAATTCGATGACCCATAGGTGCGTCATTTTTTTTCTATAGAAAAAAAAAATTAGGAGACCCATAGGTGGGTAATTGTTTTTCTATAGAAAAAAAAATCGGAGACACTTGTGGGGGAGTAATGTATTCTATAGAAAATGTTCGGAGACCCTTGTGGGGGTAATGTTTTCTATAGAATAAAAAATTCGGAAACCCAAGAGGTTCATTTTTTTCTATAGAAAAAAATTCGATGACCCATAGGTGGGTCATTTTTTTCTATAGAAAAAAATTAGGTGACCCATAGGTGGGTAATTGTTTTTCTATAGAAAAAAAAAATCGGAGACCCTTGTGGGGGAGTAATGTAATCTATAGAAAATGTTCGGAGACCCTTGTGGGGGTAATGTTTTCTATAGAAAAAAAAAATCGGAAACCCAAGAGGTTAATTTTTTTTAATTTTAATTTTCTGTAGGAAAAATATTATTTTTTCTGTAAAAAAAAAATTCGAAAATCCAGCTGGGTCATTTTTTCTATAGAAAAAAAATCCAGTTGGGTAATTTTTTCATAGAAAAGAATTCGGAGACCCAGCATGGAAATTGTTTTTCTATAGAAAAGAATTCGGAGACTCATTTTTTCTAAACTTTAAGTTTCAATTTTCTGTAGTAAAAATTGAAACCCTATTTGAGAGTAATTTTTTCACAAAATGCAAAGAACCTTCGGGTAGTCATTATTTATTTCGAAAAACTTCAGAAACCCTTGTGGGTATTTTTTTCTATAAATTCGTAGATCCTGTGTCATTTTTTCTACAGACTTGATTTATTCATTTATTCATATGAAACAAATTTAAAGACTCTCGACGGCTAGAAAAAAATAGAAAAACTTTGGATATCCTTATTCTACTATAAACAAAATTCGTAGAATTTTGTGGGTTATTTTTTTTAAATAGACAAAAAATCAGAGAACAAATTCTGAGACCCTTTGGAAGGTACTTTTTTCTAAAGACAGAGTTGCGGATACCCTTCGGAGGCAATGTTTTACCTTTTTGACTCGATTGTTTATATAAAAAATCGGTGGCTAATTTTTCTATAGAAAAAATCGGAGACTTTTCCTAGTGCCTTTTTTTGTTGGAATGCTAGATCCCATTGTAAATAATTTTGTTGATTGATTTATTTGTTTGTTTACCTGGACTAAATTGAAAACATTGACATTTTGTCGTTATGTCATTTGTGCTGACCCCCATAAATTGGGGCAGCTCAAAAAATTTATCACATTCGGGATCAACATAAACGCTGCTGCGACGACTGCTCAGATGATGTTCCATTTCTTTGATGGCCAGCATTTTGCCCATCATTTTGTCGAGTTCGTTGCGTTCCTTCATTTTGCTGCAGAACTTTTTTTTATTTATGAGACCAAAAAAATTAGAAGAAGATTTTTTTAACACAGATATTTGTTGCAATACTTTATTTTGAGATTTTTCGAGGGTTATTTTTTGTTACACAGCCACACACAATTTTTTTTAAAATATCAACTTTTTGGTTTTTTTTATGTAAATATTTATTTATTTTTTGTAATTATCTTTTCTGATCAAGCAAGACAATGATGTGAAAGGAAAACAAAATAAATTTTCGTATTCGTATCAAAGTTTCAAAGTGCAGCAGCGGCGGAGAACACGACGACGACGAAGAAGAAAAGCCGACACCGACGACAACGGCAGCGACAACGATATACAATTGCAGGAAGGAATATATCAGCAATGGCACACAAAAAAGCTTTTCTTACAATTTACATAATTTATTCGGATGATGTTGTTGTTGTTTCAAATTGACTTTTTTCAATAAATTGTGTAAAACAACAATTTTGAAATTTTTTGGTATTTCGTTTTTTATTTCTTTTTACACATTTTGTTGTTATTTTATTACTGTTTCGTTTAACAATTAAAAAGATTTTCTATTACAAATTTCACAAATGAATTATTTTCATATATTTCACCTAGAAGAAAAATAGATTTTCTTTAATACACTTGTTTTTCTTTTTCTTCGCTTGAATTGAATATCACAGCCAGTTACACCAAAAATAATATTTTTATTTTTTTCTTATATTACAGCGCCGCACATCATCTTCACACTCTTTAATTTTTTATTTGGATTTTCTTTCTTTTTTCTTTTCTTTGAGGCAAATTTTCTTTTAGCCGTTTATTTTTTTATTAGTTTTTTTGTTTTTATTTTAATCGAAGCGAAACATCGAAAAAAATGGTACACAACAATAATTATCGCTTTTCACGTCAAGTATGCGGTCGGTCCGATGGATGGATGGATTGTTGGTCTTTAAACGTTTTGTCAAATCTTGTTTTTCACTCGATCGCCTAACGAGAACGAATGAACGAACGAACCGAACGATTAAAACAATTTGACCGGCATTTGTTCGCAACTGAAAATGACTGTCTGTCGGGCAGCTGCAACAACACCGTAGAAGAGGCAGGTCGCTCTACAAAAAACGTAGCGAAGAAAGCTTTCCATGAGAAAATTTCATATGAGCGAGATAGAGAGACCCAGAGAGAGAGCGTGAAAGATACACAGAGAGTGGAGAGGATCTATAGTAGAGCATTTGAAAAAATAGAAGTGTTGCCAATGCTAGGATTTTTTTGGTATGCCAAAAAAAATTATTAATAGAAAATGGTCGGAAAATATTTGAATTTTCGGCGGTGTTGGTCCATGATTTTAGGTCCAAAATTTTAAAATAAAAACAATATACGCTTCTTGCTACATTTCCTTAAAAACTAGACATTTCCTAAAAAATCAAGACCTCTAAAAATATTCTTAAAAAAATCTACGATCCTTGTTAGAACTCAAAAAATATATATTAAAAATCTAGACCTTAGAAATCTACGCTCCATTCTAGACTTATAAAAAAATATTTAAAAAAAATCTACGCTCCTTCCTAGACTTCAAGAAATATTTTTAAAACAATCTACGCTCCTTCCTAGACTTAAACCAATAAGGAAAGTAGTAAAGTCGGACTGGGCCGACTGTATGATACCCTTCACCACTTTGGGTATGTTGTACATATGTATCCTTACAATTGCATGTCAATGTTACCTCGAAGGAACATACTCATGTCTTTCTGCAACCTATGATAAATTTAATTTCATTCGGGCAGATTTAGAGTCGTCTGCGTACCATGGGACAAATTTCAATCAGGCACCCCTTCGAAATACATATGGAATCAATGACGTCATTCAAGTCTCAATTTGATACGTTGTGCAAAACTTCGTGTTAATCGGACAAACATTAGGATCATTTATGTAAAATCGGACCAACACTATGCATATGTGGCAGCTCCATCGAAATCTGAACCGATTTTCCTAAAACTTACCACACACCATTCTAAATTCAATTCAGTACGCTATGCTGAATTTCGTGCAAATCGAAGGATATATTAAGACTTTGGTGCACTATTTACCTAAAATCGGAAGAAAATATATCCGGGAGCTATATCTAAATCCGAACCGATTTTCGCTAAACATAACACACATAACTCTAGACTTCATTCAGTACGATATCCCAAATTTCGTTCAAATCCAAGTATATACAGGGACTTCGGTGCGCCATTTACATAAAATCGGACGAAAATATATATGGGATATATATCGAAATCTAAACCGATTTTCCTGAAACTTACCACACATCATTCTAGACTCAATGCTGTACGCTGAGCCAAATTTCGTGCAAATCGAAGGATATATAGGAACTTTGGTGCACTATTTACCTTAAATCGGACGAAAATATATATGGGAGCTATATTTAAATCTGAACCGATTTTCGCGAAACTTAACACACATAACTCTAGCCTTCATTCAGTACGATATGCCAAATTTCGTGCAAATCGAAGGATATATAGAGACTTTTGTGCACTATTTACTTAAAAACGGACGAAAATATATATGGGAGCTATATCGAAATCTGAACCGATTTTCCTTAAACTTACCACACACCATTCTAGACTCAATTTAGTACTCTATGCCAAATTTGGTGCAAATCCAAGTATATACAGGGACTTTGGTGCACCATTTACATAAAATCGGACGAAAATATATATGGGAGCTATATCTAAATCTTAAACGATTTCTACGGAATTTAACACACATTGTTCTAGACTTCATTCAGTACGCTATGCCAAATTTCGTGCAAATCGAAGGATATATAGGGACCTTGGTGTACCATTTAATAAAATCGGACGAAAATATATATGGGAGCTATATCTAGATCTGAACCGATTTTCCCGAAATTCACCACTCAACATTCTAGACTTAATTCAGTACGCTATTAAAAATTTCGTGCAAATCGAAGGATATATAGGCACTTGTGTGCACTATTTACCTTAAATCGGACGAAAATATTTATGGGAGTTATATCTAAATCTAAAACGATTTTTCCCAATTTCAATCGGGTTCCTCATTGGGCCAAATAAATGAGCTGTGCCAAAGTTCATCCAATTCGAATCAAAAATGCGACTTGTACGTTGTTTAAAATTTAACATGGACAGGCGAACGGACATGCATAAATCGACTTAAAAAGTAATTCTATGCATATTCTCAAAAGGAACCATGTGTCTATCTCGTTTCCTTTGTCCTGTTCACCACAGTGTGGTGAAGGGTATAAAAATATTTTAATACCAGTGAGCGGAGCAGTATAATCGGACGGGACTGGCTATATAATACCCTACACAACTTCCGCGAAAATCTAACTTTTGGTGGTTCTATATTCTGAGCTTGGACAATATTTCGCGATATTTGAACCTTCAGTACAGCCCATCTAAATACTTGTCCAGATTCCCTTCACCGTGGGTTGTGTTGTGATGTTGGGCTTTTAATTGTGGGCTATAGATCGACTCGAAAAAACACAAAAAAAAAGAGTTTTCGATCCACTTTATCCAAAAATTTGTATCTGATCATCACGGAAAATTATAGGTGTGGTCCTTGACAATAATTGGAACTTCATGGAAATAATATCTGAATACGTAAGCACCTATAATTATTTAAGTGTTACTCGCACATCCGAGTACATATGACAATATAATTGGCATCAATTTAAAGATCAACCACTCCTCTTGGATATACTATCAACATCTCTGGTCTATGTCTTTCAGGATTAAATCTATATGCTATAGAATACAAATTTTGTAATTTTTCACACAAAAGTCAGGGTCCATCTGACCCGCTAAATATTGACCGATCTTTATCAAAACAGGTAAGCTTATTCTTTGGTCCGATCCCCTTCGAGATATTTGGGCCATAATTACAGACTCTGGAGCGACCAGAAAAACTGACAAAAATTAAGTATTTGGCCCATTTCATCCACTTAATATTAACCAATCTTTGCCAAAAACAATAGGGGGTCTTCATTGACCAGTACCTATCCTACATGCAAAATTTCGTGAAAATTGGTCCATAACTGTGGCCTGTATCGTGTTTACAAATTGTAATGGACAGACGGACGGACACACATGTTTAGATCGACTCAGGTAGTCGAGATATGACGATCGGTATACTTAAAGGTGGGTCTAGGACCAATAGTTCGCGGCGTTACAAACTCTTGGGGCTGCACAAAGCTATAATACCCTGACAACATAGTTGTGTAGGGTATAAAAATCTGCAACTTTTATAGTCTCCCATAAAATGTTTTCTTAAATATCTATGCCTCTTATAGTCACAAAAAAAAAAAATAAACATCTATACCTTAAGTCTCTCAAAAAGATATTGTTATAAAAATCTACACTTTTAATAGTCCCTTAACAATATTTTGAAAAATCTACACCTCTCCCAAAAAATAGTTTTTTTTTTATAAAAAGTCTTAAAAAAATCAAAAAAATATTTTTAAAATAATCTACCCATTGGCAACCCTGTTCCCTAATTGAGAGATAACACTCAATAACATTGTATATTTATTCCATATAAAAATACATCAAAATATACGATTAGCACGAAAAAGAAGAAGACTCAAAGTGATGCCAATAAACTTGTCATTCCTCAAAACACCTTACTAAAGTCCATTCATATAAATCTCCTCCCCAAAAAGAGAATCTTATCGAAAATCAAATTTATGCATATTTATAAACGAAATAAACTAAGGCAGATTATCAAGTAGTATTAGAGCTTGAATGAATATTTATACTAAATCTCAGTTTCATATATCTGCTAGTCTTATATATTGCTGTCAATAAAAAAATTGGTCCCAAAATCCGCTGCATTGCCATCACTGCCCGGTGAGCTATGTGATGGATGGATAGCAGAATAGTGCACGTGATTTCATATATACAAAGAAATTTTCAATATTAGTATTCAAAAAAAGAGAGCAACATATTATTGAGAGAAAATATTTTCAAGAGATTTGGAA